ACCTGGTTGACAGAACAGTCGCCCAAGGGACTGCCGGTCACGACACACCAACCTGTGCACAGCCTGGATTGATTACCAGAAAGCTACGACTCAATGCCACACACATGGATCATGGAATGCTTGAAGTTGTACAATATCAACGGGCTCTAAGGGACTTCGTTGACTTTTTTTCAGGCCTCAACCCTCTAAGCCAAGTAATTGACCAGACTGGCTATGGATACCGCCTCAGGAACGGAGCAAAGGACTTTTTTTCAGCAGATGTCATTCGGGCTCGAGAAATGTAGCAGGATGGTGACTCGGAGAGGCAAGGTAGTCCACACAGAAGGGATCTCACTCCCAGAGGGAACAATAGCAGACGTTGAGGACAGTTACAAGTATCTCGGTATACCACAGGCAAATGGCAACCTCGAACAGGTGACGAGGAAAGCGGCAACTGCCAAATACCTCCAGCGAGTAAGGCAGGTCCTAAGAAGCCGACTCACTGGCAAGGCCCAGGCAATTAACAGCTATGCCCTGCCAGTGATCAGATACCCTGCAGGAATAATCAGGTGGCCAAAGGAAGAGATTCAGACCACAGATGTTAAAACTCGAAAGCTCCTCACCCTACAGTCTGCGCACCCTGAGACTGTACGTAAGCCGTAAAGAAGGAGGCCGAGGACTAGTGAGTGTGAGAGCCACTGTCCAGGACGAAACATCCAAACTCCATAACTACATTATGGAGAAGGCTTAAACAGATGACGTACTCAGTGAATGTCTCAGGCAGTGGCGATGATGAGGAGGTGCTGGAGGAGAGCCCATCATGGGAGAACAAGCCCCTACACGGCATGTACCACCGGAGCATAACAGAAGTGGCTGATCTCAAGAAGTCCTACCAATGGCTAGAAAGGGCTGGCCTACAGGACAGCACAGAGGCACTCATCATGGCTGCACAGGAGCAGGCCCTGAGCACCAGAGCGATAGAGGCCCAGATATACCACACCAGACAAGACCCAAGGTGTCGGTTGTGCAAAGGGGGACCTGAGACGATCCAACACATAACTGCAGGGTGCAAGATGCTGGCAGGGAAGGCCTACATGGAACGCCATAACCAAGTGGTTGGCATAGTGTACAGAAACATCTGTGGAGAGTATGGGCTGGAAACTCCAAGGTCTAAGTGGGAAACTCCTCCAAAGGTGGTGGAGAAGGAGCCTGCGAAGATCCTGTGGGACTTCCAGATACAGACCGACCGAATGGTAATGGCAAACCAACCTGACATCGTGGTGGTGGACAAGGGCAGAGGACAGCCGTGGTGGTGGACGTGGCAATTCCAAGCAATGGTAATATCAGGAAAGCTTGAGAAATACCAAGGGCTCAGAGAGGAGCTGGAGAGGGCCTGGAGGGTGAAGTAGTGCCCGTGGTGATGGGTGCACCCGGGCAGTGACACTGAAGCTGGGGGAGTGGTTACAGCCGATCCCTGGAACAACCTCGGACATCTCGGTCCAGAAATGTGCAGTGCTAGGAACAGCATAGATACTGCGCAGAACCTTCAAGCTCCCAGGCCTCTGGTAGAGGATCCAAATTAGAGAGGGATAACCGCCCGCGGAGGGCCAAAGGTATATATTATGCATACTACTTTCTGGACTAGAAGGTGCACCTATAAAATCAATATTGTCAAAAGCCACAGGTTTTTGTGTTGTGATGTAGCAGATGGATGGCTGTTGTAACATGAGTTTAGAAGAGGCCATGTTTCAATTCCTCTTTCAGTTCCTATATCAGATGTTACAACTACAGTTACAAAATATAACAAAGATCTTATTTAGCTTTTAGCAGAGGGTAATATAATCACCAGGGTTAGTTAGTTAGTTAGCACGATATAGCTCAAAAAGTGGATTAGTCAACAGAGAAAAATGGAACCCTTGGCAGAGGTTTGCACTCTCCAAGTGCTTTTCTACTTATCACTCTTTTTTGGATACCGTCGCAACCAAATGTTTATGTTGTTTAATGCTTATGGATGCAAGTTATCTTTCCTTAAATTATAACAATATAAAGTATAGAAAATAACTTCAGCAAAACCCTTTCTTCACATCCACATTCTGTATTGATCGAAGCATATTTGGTTTGGCTGGCTAATCCGTACAGTAAAAAAAAAAAAAAAAAAAAAACACCAACACTTATTATGTGCTTGGTGTTGTCATACACCAATGCTGTAAATGCTATTGAAAAGAATGTTTTGTTACTTTCCTGTCAAGAGACAAATAGTTGACATAAATACAACATCCATCCATCCATTTTCTTCTCCTTAATCCATTTCTGGGTCGGGGGGTGGCAGTCGGAGCTGCATCCAGAACACATAGCAGCAGCCCCTCACTGAGTCCACAGGAGCCTGGATCTTCCAACGGGCCCTTCAGGAAAAGTGGGGTTAGGTGTCTTTCCCAAGGACACAACAACAGCAGACATCAGTGGTGGGATCAAACCAAGCCCCGGTGATCCAAGATGGCGTCCTATTCAAATGAATGGCTTGTACTCAGTAGCACATGGGACTTCACGGACCGGGAGATTAGCAGAACTCGCCTATATTTGGGCATCGTCTGGTCCTCCCGGTTCTGTGCAGTGGATTATCTCCCATGATGCTTTGCGCCAAATACGCGTGTGTGGCTCTCACGCACGGGCACAGAGGGGCTCGGCCGCGCTCTGACCAATCAGAGCTGCTGATCAGAGCAGCGGTAGAGCGGAGCCAGAGCAGAGCCAGAGCGGAGCCAGAGCAGAGCCAGAGCGGAGCCAGAGCGGGAAGGAAACGAGCAGAGTTTGTGGCAGTAAAGTGTGGATTTAAAGAAAACCGAAGGATTTAAGAAGAAAAAAGTTCAGGATGACAAGGGACACTAAAATCCCCACAAAATCAGATCTTTATGAAAGCTGTAGGTTCTCTGTCAGCTGAGGTCGTGCTGTTCTAATTTACATTGAGATCTATGGGACTTTTTTCTGGGTAGCCTTCAAGAATTTAGTCTGCAGTACCACGGGCGCCCCCTGTGCCCATGGGTGGGACAACTTTAAGCTAGTAATACCCTATCCAGTTATTATTATAGATCCATGGATCAAACCCACAACCTTCAGCTCATAGACCAATGCTCTACCAACTGTCGCACATTTAAATAAATACAACAACAATCTATACTCCACTTTTAATTAAATTGATAAAAATCCAGTCCTGCCAAATATTACTGACATGCTCATTGTGCTGTAATTACTATTATATTTTGACAAATTTAAGGTTTAGTTAAAGCCTATTTTCACATCAACATTTTTCACATTGGTTTGTTTGGTGGGCTTCATAGATAAAATACAATCTATGTTTTAGGTAATGTATGAGCATGGAGACAAGTCAACACAGCGTGTTAACACAGCACTACAATTTGCTGCTGCCACATTGTAGAGCTTGGGGAGCCTAGTCTCCCATCACAGGCTGAGACTGATCCCATCAGGTCTCAGCCTATGCAGCTGAGATCTGATGGGATAGTCTTTCACCTGCAGGTGTATCCACAGCTCAAAGCTTAAGAGGTGTCCAGTAGGCTCTATGCTTGCTCCCTGCAGTGATTGGGAAGAACCTGTAGCTCGCCAACCCCTTTCAGGTAGATCCCCCAAAGGATTCAGAATGATTGCATTTTTGAGTCATTGGATATCTAATACAACTATACATGATTTATTGTGTTCACTAATGTAGGGTTATGCAGTAAAATGGTATATTTTACATGAGTGATGTCCATGATTGATTTTTTTCGAGTTATTTTAGATTAGTTTTATTACAACTGCAAAAAGATAAGCTCTCTATCATTTCTGTCGCACAAAAGAAACTTTCTAAACAAAACAGGTTGGAGACCCCTGCTGAAGTGTGTAGCTCTCCCATGAGCTCTCCTGACACCAGTGCACTTTCAGAGTCTGCTCTCTTGGAGCAGTGCCACCACTGCCCTCTGCTGGACGCTTTGCTTCATGACACACGGAAGAGTGATAATGTTCTTTGCCTGCGTGTACATCCGATGGATCTATTTTATAATATCGTACAACCGCATCTTGCCCCATCTGTATTGTAATCGTCTGTGTGTGCGGGATTGAGAGGATCCATGGTGTTGGTGGGGTATGTGACCTCCGAGTGCAGTCCCAGTTTTTATTGCGTGCTCAATCACCTGAATTAAGTTTGTCCCAACAATTCCCAATGTTTTTGTTTTTGTTTTTTGACTGAAATCCCCCGACAAGATTATCTTCATGACAAAGAGGCCAATATCTGTTAACTAGAACACTCCATACAAAACAGAAAGGAGGATTTTCCACACACTTTATTTTCATTCATTTCAAAGCAACACTTGTAACAGAGTATTGAGGACATGCACTTTTGGTTAAGCATGATGGGGAAATACAGGTGAAATAAAGCTCAGTCAATTTATTGGTGCATATAGAAAATAATACAAACGTGACGACACTTTTTTATAATTTACTTTCAAAATGTGACTAACTAGTCCCCAGACTGTGACCCAACGAGCCAACCATATTATGGCCATAATGTAATGCGTGACTTCACTGAAACTCCCTTTTAAATGCATAGCCCAAAGATGAACTGGACTGTATTTACACCCAATGTGCTCTCCGGAGAAAGAAACAGCAAGCAGACAAAATCACTTGACTACAAACAAAAATCATGAGAGTTATATTGAGAGCAATAGTTGAGTACTTTAGAACAAAACCATATTAATATCCATATAGCTAATATTTAAAATGAATAGTTTTGACTGTGTTTCGTTTGTTCTAATCTACAAGTCCTACAGAAAATCAAGCCATTTCTGAGGATTATGGCACATTTCAAAACCAAAGGAAAACTCATCACAGATGATTTACTACAACAGGCAAACTTTACTTTACACAAATATACCAAGATATTGTGACCAAACGTGGTTATGAATAGATAATATATTTATAACACAGTTATAAAGTAGAACATCAACATTATATTATTAGGATATCTGCAGAACCAAAGTATTAACTGCAGCCGCACTGTGTTTCCACAACACACACCCTGACACAAGCCAGAAAACATCCCACAACGGGAATGACAGACAGCACTGTGCAGATGTGGGTCTGTCCCAACTCTTCAAGGCGTTACAATGCTCCCTTTTATCTGAACGCCCACAAACACCCTAAAAACATATTTGCTCTTGCAACACTCAATAGTTAGATGTATTTTACAGATATAGTTATATAGTAATGTATATACCTGCAGAGTGTACACAATCTGAGCACTACTTCTGACGGGCTCCGAACCACCTCCTGACAAGAGACCACCACAGAAAGGGTGCATGCAAGAAGAGTACAGGAACCCAGTTTGGGATGAGGAGAATCACTACTGCCACTGGTGCATCTAAGTCTATATTCTGTATTGATATTGCAAAGAGGTGGATGACCATCTGTCCTGTAGGAACTGTGGGGTCTTTCTTTGTCTTTTCAGTTGCTTTTTCCTCTAAATGATTCTGAATAATCTTGGTCTGAAGTACAGGGCTTCAACACTCTTAAAACTTGGTCCATTGGTTTCTCTATTCTGTTGTTTATTAAACAGAGACCTTAAAATAGTTGTAAAGGATAAATTGCACATTACTATACTTGTTAATGTTGGGGTCCTTTTTGTTTTAAAGACAATCTTGAGAGGACAAGCAACATAGAGATAATTGCCAATGTTCTTCTCACTTGGCGGTCATCATTTGGACAAACTCTGGAAAAGGAGAAAGTATTTTTTAAATAAAGAAGTACGGTGTACACAAACCTTTACAGTTAAGAGGTTAAATGAAAACTGAGACAAGGCAGAACAGGGTAAAGGAACTGCTCTGCTTAAAAACTGTATTTTACATTTTTCATACATTGATGACGATATGTATGATATAAAGGCCATCTATTATTTAGTACTTCAAGACAAATGTTCTAGTCCCTGCTGTAATTAAAGTCAACACTTTTCGGTATCTAACAGCAATTCTGGAATTGTTAAAACACAGGTTAGGGTTCAGTAAACACAGTCATATATGGCTGTCCCCCAAGGCACAACGTATTATGGTCAATGTGCAAGTAGCAAATTCACTTATCGTTCAATGAACAAAAATATATTAAGGCATCTGTGAAATATCAGTATGGTTAACACATATAAATACTCAATACTGAGCACTGAAATAGATTACTTTGCTCTGTTTAGTTCAAGCATTTTCACTTGGCTTTTGTGTGCAGCTGCTCAAGCTGCACAGGAGCAGTGTGCAAAGGCAGTGTATGTGGCCAAGAGTTTAAGATAGAGGCCTTGACATGTAAACTTATATTTGAAACAACATTTTACCTTCATAATTGACCTGACCATCGCCATCAATGTCGGCCTCGCGGATCATCTCGTCCACCTCTTCATCGGTCAGCTTTTCCCCAAGGTTGGTCATGACGTGTCGTAGCTCTGCAGCACTAATGTAACCATTTCCATCCTTAAAACCAGAGCAAAAGTTTTAGCTGAATATTTAAAATGTTTAGTCAACAAAGGGTATCTTTTCAAGAAGCTGACACAGACATCTTTAATAGTTTTGGCACCTTGTCAAACACTCGGAAGGCCTCTCTGATTTCCTCCTCGCTGTCTGTGTCTTTCATCTTCCTCGCCATCATGGTCAGAAACTCGGGAAAATCAATTGTACCGTTACCTGATCGCAAAAAATGAATGAAAAACTTGTTGATTAATAATTGTGTATAAAAGGCTCAAAATGTTGACATCACAAGAAAAAACAACATATATTTATAAAGTTTGCAATTTGTATAAATCTGGCCAAAAGTGGTACTGCAGTCATGGTTTTTTAGACATACATACATACAAGTCCCACATCAAAAAGAGACTAACATTAATGGAATAAATCTGGTTTCATCAAATGATTTTTTTTTTTTACAATCAAGAAAACATAATTGTTAAAAAAAAAAGATCTACTATTTATGTTTGATGGTGAAATTGTCCCTCATTCTCATTGACTACCAGACCTTTTTTAAATCAGGGAAGTGTGTTCTGCTAGTGTTTTCAGAGATTTGACCTAACTTTGAAGAGCCACAGAATATTCAGTTATTTACTATATAAACACTAAGGGCCAAATGGAAGATTAGGCCTTAGCTTACCTTTTACCATTCTTGAGCAATACGTCATAGAACACAGCATATAGTTTCACCCAAAACACTTTGACAAACCCGAATTCAAACCCGGGCCACTGCGGGGAAAGCACTGTAGCATAAACACTAGACCACCAACCTATACTATGTATGACTGGCCTCAGTCATCTTTTTCAATGGAGCAAGTTTTGTCCCAAACAAAAAGTTTGTATCTGTCTTCAATTGTCTCCATTTTTCAAAGGCATCCCCAATAGAAATCCTCATTTTATTCTTTGTTTTGTCATTAATGATTTGAGATCATTAATGACTTATTTCATAAGAAGACCGTTTTAGTAGACCTGATTAGCTAGCCGCGGGGAGTTCAGACAACCCGAATCACAGACCTTCTGGTAAAACGGTGGAGAGCGGGACATCGAAATAAAAACAATAACAAGATTTAAAACCAGTTTTGAAATTTGAATATCTCGGCTGAAATACTGTTAATACTGAAGTATTCGAAAAGAGCATGGTTTATTAATACCTTTTGACAGATTAGGGCCATTTAATGATGACTTGACATGAAAATATTACATATTGCTATTAATATACCATGGCTCATATACCATGTATATACATGGGACATATACCATGTATATACATGGGACATATGCATCAATATGCAATATATAATAAAATAATCATTTAATGTATTAACTTGTAAGTGTTCATCTGAATGATGCTGCATCGTGCATTAATGATGCAGGAGAGAGATTAGAGCTCTCCACAAGCTCGACAGTGACTGATCTCTGTTCTCAATGTGATTGATTGAAACATTGATTAATTTATATATTTATATACACACATTATATACATATATATATATATATATATATATATATATATATATATATATAGAGAGAGAGAGAGAGAGAGAGAGATAGAGAGAATACAGGGGATATATATATCCTTAAGAGACATTCTATAAATATAAATACTGCTCACCATCTGCATCCACCTCATTGATCATGTCTTGGAGCTCAGCTTCAGTGGGGTTCTGTCCAAGAGAGCGCATGACTGTTCCCAACTCTTTAGTGGTGATGGTGCCATCACCGTCTTTGTCAAAGAGTGAAAATGCCTCCTTGAACTCTGCACATAGAAATGGTATTCAGTGTTTTGTGACCCTTTTATTGTATAAATGCCAACTGTTACTCTGCTCGGCATTGAACTTACCAGCAATTTGCTCTTCAGTCAGCTGGTCAGCCTGATTTCAAAGAAAAAAACAATGTTTATTACATATCAGTTAGAATCAAATGCAAGCTCCTACATCAGTCTGTAATTGTGTATAGGATTTCAATGTTCTTTTGTCCCAGATAACCTATGTTTTTGCTGTAACACTATCCTATGTGTCCTTTCACACATGGCAGCTTCAGACAGGAAAAGTGTAGTAAGGGAAGGGTATAAATACTTGCAGACAGGAATACACATTGCTGCTATAATTAGTGAGAAGCGAACAGGGTCGTCGATGTAGCACAGAGGATGATCTCCTTGTATTTAGCGGCTAGATGCTGCATTTTCATATGAGTCTCTTTGACAACGATTGCCAAAGTCATATTTGCTTCTGTGTAACTCAGCAGATGAACGAATAAACAGTAATAAAGTTAAAAGAAGTCATCAGACAGCTGCCTTCTGTAATCGCCTGTCTTCCTTCAATGTTCAGCAAGACATGTGGAGGGTGCATTGCGGGTGCTGGCAGCCTGCTGCACCGAAGATGGTTTGGTTCAATGCGGGGGGAGAGGGAGGGTCGGCAGGCAAGGGATTCAACAAGAGCAGAATGCGGCTTCAAGTTATGACGCAAGACGTAATTATGGTCATAACCAAAGTCTTCACGCTTTAGTTGTGAAGCGTATAGCTTCATTATTTGACAGATGGTGTTGCGCATAGGCCCGCATTGAACAGTGGCCTCTAAATCACCTGGACAGAGAGATTTCGGGGCAGATGAATGCACATAACATATTCGCCTAAATACACATTGACAACTACAGTGACCAACCACAACCAAATCATTACATGTTCACAAATCCAACTATTTCAACATAGTGGCCGAAGGAGAGATGAGCAGGAAACATACTGTTGCACAATGCTTCCTCACTAGCCCAAAGCCATTTGGAGCATACTGATTTAAATGGTTACTGGAATTAATACAATAGTTCGTGAGAGAACAATATTAAAAGGCGTTTAATGATTGCACGCATTAGTCCATCAGCTGCGGGTCCGCTGTCACTGAGCGCAGCTGCACAAACCGCGTTACTTTCACTTGCAAAAGCAGCAGTCTACAGGCGGGGTTAGCGCTAATTGCATAATGGAGATGGGTTCTAGTATTGTGTTTCCAGTTTAATAGTAGGATTACGGGCCGCATGAATGCTAACATCACTATAGCTAGTATGAGCTATGCTATTCACGGCCATAGCCTTCCGTACTCACCATTGTCCTGTTTGCGCTTCAGGCGTCAAGAAGAGTCTCCAAGGTCTATGAAAATGAATGCAGGTCTTTGTATTAGTTATATGAACCCTGTGCAGATGTATTTTGTCTATGATTTAGTCAAATGTGTGTAATAATGTGTGTAATAACGCGTTGCTGCCGCAGAGGAGCTAGAGATCTGACGCCGGCTTTGAGCTGTGCTACGTCCCTCCTCGCGTCTGTATCCTTCCGCTCCATGGCTCTATTTTACACACAGTGCTTCATGACTTCAAATCATTATAACAACAGTAGTACATTAAAACACATGCATTCAGCTGCTGCTTGTGCTGCATCATTCATTGACCCATTGAATAACGATTAAATACACAATTCTAGAACGTTTTATTCCCAAATATATTACATCCCAAGTCAATATAATTGAAGTTTGATAAAATACATAGAATAAAGAGCGCTGCATGGACCATACGAGTGCATGTTTTGAAGAAAGAAGGAGGACATTCATGATTCTTGCATGAGTTATCTTATAGCCCAGCTGCTCCTAGACTTTAGGGTCAGGGCGATCTAAAGATCTCACTGAACCTTCAATAACTATGTACTTTAAACAATATAGTATTTATTGGAAACTACAATGAGGTTTTTAAACAAGACGTTTTCATATTTGCTTTTTACCAGTTGAGAATTGTTTTCAAATTCAAGGTTCAAAGTTAAGTATGGAAGATTTTTTGTGTCATCAGATTTTAAATTCTGAATTAGCTTTTCCATTTGAAATGTTTTACCATGAACAACGATTGGTGAATGTTGAGACCTGTAGGTAGGTCTAAGTTTGTGTAGCTTTTCTAGTAATTAAGTAAGTAATCTTTATTTATACAGTGCCGTTCACAGACTAGTCACAAATCACTTACAACTGTCAGACTCCAAATGTCCTTCTCTATGTAAACTAATACAAAGCAGGGTAGGCCCAGTTGTTGTACAAATTTGCTTTCTAGCTATTGAGAAAAGAACTGATACTTAAGTATTAGTGTGCTATTTCAAGATGGTCTCCACACCTTTCTTGGTTTCTTCCCGATATCGTTTCCACTTCTGCATCATCACAAAAGCACTTATTCATATCCCTTGGAAACCCCATTGCTTGCTGGTGAAGTCTTTTTTGGAACACTTGTGAAATATGTCTGAATTTGACATGTTTTACCCAGGTGAACCCAGCATCAAAGCATTTTAATAGCCAGTCCACTCCTTGCTTGATAATGACTGATATGACGTTAAACAATGAGTAAGTACAGCACACTCCCAGTAGCATCAGTAGGCAGTTGACCACCTGGTACCCACGGGTCTCCTCATGCTGCTCCCGCTGACCGCTCACAAAGTCCCCAAAACCCACGGTGCTGAAAGCTACAAAACAGAAGTACAGGGACTCCAGGTAGCTCCAGCCCTCCATGGCTGAGTAGACAGATGCTGCACAGCATGCAACTAGCAGGACTGCGATGAGAAGAACAAGTGTCACTTGAGGAATTGATGGTTTCCAGTTGTTTTCATCATCTTCATTTTTGGTGTTTCTCAGTCTGCGGTGTGGGGACCTCCTGCAGCACCAGAGGATAGCCACACTTACAAATGTGATGACTCGCTCTAAAAAGAGGTTGAAGAAGAGGATAGATGCAGAGCACCCCAGGAGACCATAGAAAACAAGCAGAATCTTTCCGGTGATAGTGGATGGAGCAGACACTCCAAAACCTATTGTAAACGAAAAGAGATATATGGTCAACAACCTTTGTCAAAGGGGATAATTCACTGTAAATGTGAAATTATGATGATTTCAGGTAGTTTCCTGTGGCTTTATGAAACCATCTGGCTGAAACCAAATTCTTAGAAAACACAGTCCATTTGTTTTGTTTTTTTTCAAAAATGACCAATGTGAGAAATGGAACCCCCAGGTTTGATCATATGAAACACTATTTTTAATTGAATTAATGTTAATGGTCAACAAAGTGCTCAGTTTGTTGACCAGTTTGTTGACCAGTTTGTTGACCGGGCGACAGTAGCTCAGTTGGTAGAGCATTGGCCTTTGGGCCGGAAGGTCGTGGGTTCAAGCCCACCATAAGACCTACTTCACGACTCCCACTGATGACTGGTGTTGTTGTGTCCTTGGGCAAGACACTTAACCCCACTTTGCCTGAAGCTCCCACTGAAAGATCTCAGCTCCTGTGGACTCACCACCTGCAGGAGGATCAGTTAGGGGCTGGTGCTAAGTGTACTGGGTGCAGCTCTGACTGCCACCCCCCCGACCCAGAAATGGATTAAGGGGAAGAAAATGGATGGATGGATGGTCAACAAAAAGGAAATGGAAGAATAGAGAAAGAATCTGTCAACTGAAAATAGCACCAAAAGGAGGAAAAGGTAGGTGAAATGTAGATTTTTACATGGACAAGAGAGTTAATGAAGGATAAAAATAACCGCAAATGTGGATGAATAAATGAGTATTTATATTTATAAAGTGTACTATAGTTTCCACAGTGATTATCAACAGATGAACGATCGATACACATCTAACTTCTCATAAAAGTAGTTTTTACAAAAACATTTGAATAATATGTGTTTATGTGGCTTTATATGTAAAGGCAAGCATTAATTTGTGTGACTGATGTGTTATATTGATCAATTTCTATAAAGCCTTACTCACCAATAGTGGAAATGACTGTTCCCACAAAATAGAATGCCCCTGGGAAGTCCCAAAGGGCTCTTCCCTGTTGGGCTCTGATCCCGGCCGCCCTGGCCTCTTCATAGAGCTGCAAAATAGACTTGAGCTCTGCCAGGCTGATGTTATGCTCCTCACTGAAGGCTTGAAGTCTATGTGTCCAAAGACAATGGGCTTGAAGCTCCACTGGTCTCTCTAAATAAGAGAAAACGGCTGCTCCTGCCAGCATATAGAGAGAAATGAGTAGTCCCAGCAGAGAAAAGTGAGCACTCCCCCTACCAGGGTTCAGCGATGGACACCAGCAGCAATTCACTTTCTTCATATTAATCCTCCTATGCAGCTTGTTCCTTTCTTTATAAATCAGTAAGTCAGTATTTTGCAAGCGTCTCGACTTTCTTCTCTCTGGTTGTGCTGTGTGGCTTTCAACCTCACAGTATCATCTCTGCTGCTCTTATCTCCAATTCAATAATCCATCTTTGCTTTGTTTTTATGAGCCTCAAACACACAGTGTCCCTGAATCTCCTGGAGGTAAAGTCCTTTCAGAAATGCTGTACTTTTATCCTAGTATTATATTAGTGTCAAGTTATATAGGCTTAAAGAATAACGCAAATATGAAATTATCAAATTACGCTTTACACTTTTTATTGTTGAGTTGAGCATGTGATGTGAGAGCAGGTTTTCATAGATGAGTCTTCCTTTGGCAAATCTTCATCATATTATATAAATCATCATTTACGCAGTTACGTACAGTGTTTCCATTCCTTTGTTTTCAGACAAACAAATTATGAATAGCCTTTCAAAATATGTTGAAATTAAGGCCTAGTTCTTCTGGGCCACCGCATTTTGTTGAAGCACAAGCTCACAGGGATGGTAGGCATGGTGGCTGAGTGGGTAGCACTCTTGCTTCTCAGCAAGAAGGTTCTGGTTCGAATCCTGGTTGGAACAGGGCCTTTCTTAGTGGAGTTTGCATGTTCTCCCTGTGTCTGCGTAGGTTTCCTCCGGGGTACTCTAGTTTCCCCTACCATTAAAAACATGTGCAATAGGACTGACTTGCGCTTCCTGTACTGGCGACCCTGCTCCCATCTCTGTGTGGAGTGGGAGACAAATGCCCAAAAATAACAATTTTAAAAGAAGACTTAGAAGCTTGTAATCTTGGTCTAGTTGTTGGAGTCCAACATCAAACAGGATAACACTTTGGACTGGGAAGAATGTGCTCAAATTAAGAGGTAGGAATGACTAGTACCTGCGCCCTGTAATAATTTTATCTTCAGGTTAAACTCACACCAAGCAAGTTGACTTGAAGAATGACTTGAGTAACATTTTTATTATTATACCAATCGCCAAGAAACAGTTGTTGTTGCATGCCCCTCCACCAGGTGGCGATAAAGCAACCGCCTGTCGACCTGGTATTACAGCCTATGACAAAAAGAAGACAGTGCAACAAACGAACAAACGTGTGTTCCATGGGTTATTGTTTTTTCCCGTGTCCAGGTTTGTATTTGTGATTCCACTAATCAGAACCTTCGGGTTTATGTGGCCTGTGTCTAAGCTGGGCTCATCTAATTTACACTTCAAGTCCAAGTAGTGAGAGAAGAATTGTTACCAGAAAACTTCTAATTTGATCAAATGTGTCCAGGGAAGATGAACTTGCCGAGGCCGGTGGCTGTGCTGCGCCTGCCTAGAGGACCAGACTCTCACAGCCGAGGATTCGACCCCCAATCCCCGCGTTTCATTGCCTTGTGCCGGCCGTCCATCCCCTGCTCCCTGGCCTCGGAGGTGGACGCTGATGGCCTGCAGCAGGAGCAGCAGGAGCGCTCCCTGCTGCGAGAGCGCTTCCTCCGCTGTTTGCTGACTATGGCCAACAGGAAGGTGCGCTTCAACATGTATGAACACGTGAAGGTGGACGCCACGTTTGGAGCGTCAGATATTGACGTTCTCAACTTCCAGGTGTCAGACCTGCACACCCCTATTGGCGTTCAAAAGGAGGCTCTGATCCGCGCTCAAGATGTTATTTCACTCACTTTTGACTTATGAGCACGGTTCGGGGATATGGTGTTCGGTCATGTTGAGCAAAACAGCCTCACTTTTTTTTTTATGTTTATTCAGTGACGCCTTTTCACCGCTAGATGGAGACATGTTTCAGTGAAATTTTGGAGACTTGATGCAACAATAAAAGTCCCTCTTTAGTCGAACTCTGACTTTTAACGTAGTTCCTTGTTAGGTCTTGATGACAACGATCACATAGATTGTGGGGTCGTATTATTTGTAGTTTCTTTTTATTCCCAAGATAGCACATATCACCTAAAACAGTACATACAGTCTCAGTATTCACTTGTAAATCTTTATACCTGGTTCTCAATTCTCTTGCTTTACATTACACCAATGTCTTGCCCATGGACACAACCTTTATCTACTCCCACTGTACCTTTTGTCTTTTCTATTGGAGATATTTTATCATTTGTTTCATCTGAATTGTTCCAATCCACTGCTCAGTAGGTTCTAACTAGAAACCCCACCTGGCAAAGGGCTGACTCTAGATAAGCAGTAGCTGGAGATGTATGTAAACTTGAATTACTATTATATTTTTTTGCCAAATTAATGTTGACTGTTTTCATTTTTTTTCCTTTTCTTAGATCCAAAAGTAATTTTTTTGTATTTCATTTAATTATAAACAATGTCTAATTTGTCACTTGAGAAAGTAGGCAATCCTGATGTAATCTTCCTAAAAGGTGTTCCATATAAGTTCCCAATAAGGCTTTTTATCTGAGTGCCATTAGGCGGCCGTGCTGTCTGTTTCTTTGTGTACCCGAATTATGTGTCCACTCAGTGAGACCGTCATCTCTGAGGCGGTGACTCACCCCCCTCTTCGGCCCTCCCTAATCCAAAATATGACTTAAACCTTGCATGACGTCATTCAGCTGTGATTGAATCAGGAAGCCCTCAAGGACGACCAATGTTAATTTCATCTTCACAGTTGGGAGCAGCCGCCTTAAACTCCACAAGTTCATGCTGTCACTGAGGTCTGTTCCACCGGCGGAACATTGTTGACATAAAAGTTTGTTAATGATTTTTATATTTTATGTTAATAAAGGGTCTATTTGGTCAAGAGTCTCTGAATGTATGTATTTTCTTCATGCTGTTCTTGGAATCAAAAATGGTAACTTGGTGTGTTGGCACGTTAATATGTCCAGAATTTGAGCACTTTAAAGCCGCCAGCCAACAGGAAACACATTCCTCTTCTTCCTGTTTGTGGTGCGTTTACTGTGCTCTCATTTCCTGACAAGTGTCTTGATAAGTTAAATTCTGAATAATTGTTTGGCTGAAGAAACACTTATCAGTTTTAAGAGTCAAGCTTATTTACATGTATTACAATCAAACCCCCAAAATAGTTTTCTGTGGGAGGTTTTTGTCACTTTCTATGATCTATGATCGAATTAATACACCTTTAATATAAAATTACAATCAATGCATGTACCTCATTTCTTCATGGAGATGTTGTGTAGGCCTACATCCAAATAAAATGAGATCCTTTTTTGTCCCACCAGGGGGAAATGTCAATGTTGCAACATAAATACCTTGGCATAGAAGCATTAATTGCAACATAACATATTCTGAATTGATCTCGCCTGTTCTATTCATGTGTGTCCAGTGGCCTGGGAAAATAATCTGTATGTCTGTCTATGGCTCAAACGCAGAAGTAGTACTCAGACAAGTTTCAACTGACCCCTGGTGGCAAAAAGGGTACTGCAAAAAAAGGACAACCAAACAACTATGACTATGAATACATGCAGATTTAGAAAATAGTGGCAAAATTACTGGGAGAAAAATATAGAAAATAAATGATTGATAATGAAGAGACAAACAAATACAAGATAATTTAAGGTTAGCATTATCGCCATGAATCTGTGCCACAGTGGTCCACTCCCCTCCCACAGGAGTAAACACAGGAAGATGTGATTTTCTGTCATCCCAGGACCCGTGATATAAGCACGTAATAGTCTGTGAAAAAAACTAATCTGATCGTTCTCAACATTATAGAGGAGCATTACTAAGTGCATAAAAGTATCATTACACTTGTATTAATAGATAAAAGGAGGTTGCTGCTTCAACATGATTTTGATTTTGATCATACTATATTCATAGTAAGGTTCAGCATTATGAAGTGACAAATGTATGAGGTGCAAAAGTAGTAGTACTATAAACCTACAGTGCCTTGAAAATAATGTACACCCCATGAACCTTGTCTAAACAATATGGCAGAACATTATGAAGTGAAAACAAACGAATACATGATTTGTTTTGAGTGTAGCATGCAAAAGTATTTGGCGCCTTTTTCTCTGAGTGCGACCAACTGCCTTTAGAAGTTGCCTGTCATGGTTTAGGTTTATTTCCTGTTTTGTTTTGTAATTTGTCAACCTGTATCCCCCTTTGTTGTACTTCATGTTGTCTGATTCCTGCCCTGCCCTCATGTGTCTCGTTAGTGTAGTGTATTTAAAACCTGTATATTCCTTCACTCCCTGTTCCGTCAATGTCAATTCCATGTCTCTTAGTTCTCCAGTTTGGTTGTTTTTTGTATTTTTACGCTGGAATTTGATTTTGTATTTGCTTTGATTACATATACATTTTTGCAGTCCTGCGTTTTGGGTTCTCTTCATTTTACGATTGTGACATTGTCTGACGATTGAATAGTCAAAGGTTTTAACCATTAAGAGGAGTCCACCAGAGTGTCACCTAATGTCAGTATAATTACAGCTGTTCTGGGAAGGCCTCGGCGGTGCATCAGTCAGGTCAGAGATTAAGTTTCAAGCATTGTTTGGTTATACAAACATTAAACCTAACGTTTTGAACGTGAGCACGAATCAATATAGCGATCATCCTGGAATGGAAAGGGTAGCACAACTGAAAACCTACCCAGATAGGGCTGTTTGCCCAAGCTGATGTACAGGGACAGCCCTCATGGTTAGTTGGGGGAACACACTACTCCACACATTTGGCTTTAGCGGAGCAAATAGTGAGCCAGGGCCAAATTAAAGCCACAAAAAGCCAATTTGAAAGTTCCCCCTTATTCTACAACCTCAGCCTTGCATCACGTGGCCTCGGTCCTCTTTCTACAGCCTGAGTCCTGTAATGCGTGGCCTCGGTCCTCCTTCTGTATTCTGATTCCTGGATCAATAGCCTGACTGTATTTCTCTGATCTGTGTTGGTGAATTCAACAATTTTGTAAAGTCCTCCGACATAGCTACTCTTGTGATTCAGGGCTGTACAAAAATAAATTGAATTGAATCACAATGCCTTAGAAGGTGCAGTTAGATGTGAACAAAACCCTCATCTTTATTGATTATGGCATCACAGTTTTGGTGTCTGCATTCAGCGTATCGATTAGAGTGGTGAAGTCAAATCAGAGCTGTAAACTGTAGATTAAAAATGATGTGAATCGTGTGAATCCTGAATTCTTTGAAGAGCTACACTTACAATATGCTTGAGTCAAAGGAGAACTCCAGGTCACCCTCAGTGCAAGAGTATTGTCCTTTTTTGTGGTTGAGATTTGTGTAAAATATTTCTCAAAGGGAAACCAAAACATGAATCGTGATTGTGATTACTGTAGGTCCCATATGGATAAAAGACATATTCCAGTGTGAGTCCTCTTCAGTTTGCTATCACCAATGTAACCAAGCTGACTCACTTCACACTTTACTTTGTCCACATCTAAGGGGCTTTTAGTGGGTTGAGATAATTGCTTATAATTTCACTTGGACACAAACAGCCCTCGCTCTTGCTTACTTCTATCCCTTTTATTCCTATCCCAGGGAGACATGATTTACTTGAGTCACGGACAAGGACATCTGCCTATTAGCAAGTGCCGCTGACGTAGGCACAGTCCTTCCTCCATATCTACCATCTTGTGCCGATACTCCTCCTTTTGCCTTACCCAAATTGGGGTCGCCAACCTCCTCAGTGCAGCCTGGTGAATCATCAATATGAGCCCACTTCCGTCCTCCATCCCAAATTATCAGGGTAACCCGACATTGTCTGCTCTCTACTGTCACATCAGTCAGAGGCGCAGTCGGAGGGGGAATATGAATGAGGGACATGGTGTATTTTGTGAATCACTGTGTCGCCATATACGGTGATACTATATACGCAACTTCATCAAACTGTAATTTTGTAGTTCTAATGTAGTCTCATGGCAGCAGGTAGCAGTAAAAGGTGTTGGCAGTACTTCCTCCGTGTTTTAACCTTTTACATTCAACTAAAAGAAACATGCCAGTGAAAAATGGTTAGCGCCGTCTTATTCACTGTCATTTGACTTTTGGGTGCATTGCAAGTGCATTGTTGCATCGGGGTTAGTCTTACTGGCCTAAATGTTGATTTCGGCTGTTTTCACACATTAAAACAATAAACAATCAAAAAAATGATTTTTGGAGAGATTATTTATAATCATTAAATAACAGTGTTTATTGACTGTTATTTAAACAACCACTGATCGTCACCGATAAAGGCTATTACTTGTCACGTAAAGCTAATTTCAATTTGATGAATCACTTGGAGATGACGTTCCTGGAAAGTCAGTGGAAAAACTGGTTTACTAGAACAGAAACTGTACATTTTGTATATCGTTTGTTTTGCAGACGAGCCCAATACCAGTTACTGGATGTTTAGTACACATGCTTTTTATGCAAAGAAATACTAACAATGATGTTGATTTGTCAAGTTATCTAGAAGATGCTGAATGCCCCCTGTGCTTTTAATGCAGCAGTAGTTTATAGTTATTGTGAATATGCTGTATACATTGGGTATGTGAATGCTCACTCAGCTGTAAGTCCACTTGGTTATTTGCTGATACTATCAGTGGGCAGCAGTCTGAGTAAACACTAACGCTTGATAAGTAAACTAGGCTACACCTTCGTTCTTCAAACATATTAGCTTAAACACACTTTAACATATCTACTGCTTCAAAAAGACTCTTCAAGTAACAGTATGTATCTTTATGTAGGTGAAAATCTCACATCCACAAAGCCATACTATTGAACAGT